CACGGGAAATTGAGATTCGCTTCATTAATTATTGATTTTCAATCACCATCGCTGTAAAAAGCGATATAAGAGGGCGAGGCAGGAAGAAACGACCCGGAAGTTGATATAACGACGATGAATCACATACAAAACGAATGACAAATATTGCCATTGAGGATAATTTATAATATGCTGACGAGAACTGCTTGAAGGAAAGCTCCATCGATTCTGGGGCGATTAAATGAGATTTAAGATAGAGGCATCAAATATTTTCACAGTGAGTTATGCAATCTTCTCATATAAATATTCCGTTCAATTCACCGTGACTAATCGAATTACTGAAATGGATTCATGTTGGCTGGGAAATTCAGCGCTTAGTCTTCTAAACAGAAGCATATATTGTGCCTTCAAACACCCTTACAGCTTCTGCAGTGGCAAATTTTGCTCATTCTCCGTCCACTGACTCTGAATATTATTGCTCAACTCCCCAGGGCCATCCACCTGGATAAGCCACTCTGACCCCGTGCAGACTCATTTCGCCAGACATAACAAACATTAAGAGCAGAATAGACAGTCCAGTCATCTCGCAATTATTATCCTATTCTCCATCTGTTTGTTCCCGATAAACAGAAAAAATGTCTGAAATTTTGTAGACACAAATAAAAGTTTAGATGAAATATGACTGAACTATTCATTAAACCGTCATTCTTTTCAGTATAATTTCCATCATAGATTGCAATTATGAATCTTCCCCATCTGACTCGACATATAATTTATGTTATCAATTTAAGAGCGCTATTGAATAAAAGGCACAAAATTTTTAATCCAGATTTTGATCTCGTGCGCTAAAATGGCGAAGTTTGCCTCTGACATTCTCTAGTTAAGTATACGTGGCGAAAGATAGTGGGAGACCGAGTGGGTGGTGCTCTTGGAACAATCCACTTTTCAGCTTCGCAGGGAACTTTAGAGTTGAGTCTCCAGTGTGATGAATCAGCAATTCAAATACCACATTTGCCCAACTCGTATTTAATATACAACTCGCATACAGACATTTTAAACGAGAGGCTACTCTCGAATGGCGGGATGTTTGCTTCTCAGGATGTTAAGCGAAAGGATATACACATTTGGCATTATTTACATTTAGATTTATTCAGAGATTATTTGTATACTCGTGAAGGCTCTGAGTGTTCTATCCCGCTCTCTTTATCTTCGAATTAGTCTTGCTCAAGTTGTCGTAGATTTTCGCCCCATCCTTGACTGGAGTCAGACTTGGGAATCCCCTTTGATGAGCACTGCATATTTGATAACATTTCCTCGACTTTAATTACAGTATACCAAATTTACAAGGAATATATTATCTCAACTTGTCGTTCTCAATTCTCCTCCAGCTGACTGGGTGGAATAAAAGCGTATTTTTCTTAAGCTATGCTATATATAGAAAAATATGCTGTATATGACTGGCCCTTATCATAGACCAATCATTCTCAATTTTGTAACATGACAACTCAGCGTGCAAAACCATCAATAAGGAATGCACATTAATCTTACGGACTTGCAGTGCATTAGCTTTATGGGAGAAAAAAGATGAAAAATATTTTCCGCATTGCATAATGTCAAGAGGGAAAATCAATCGAATGGAAATTGATTGGGCAAAAAGTCTTACCGAAGATAGTGATTTTGACATTTTATTGTACATAAAGAATTACATATATAGTTGGTATAAAGTCAATTCAACCTCTCCCAATCGTGTCATTCGAATACTGTGCGTGAAAAAGTGGAAAAAGTTGATATGGTTCGGGATTCTCTTTTAAAGAGTTATTTAGTGGAAAGTTCTCGATTGCTGGAATCTACTCAAATACCTCAACAAATTCCACTATCGAAAGTCATTCACAGGCAAGAGAATGCAGAGAGCTTTGCTCTCCGATTCGATTAATTACCCAGTATGCAGTCTGAACTGCATATTAAGGTAATCCAATGAGTTGTTGTTATACAACATCATCAATTTTTTGAAGCAATACTCGGAAATTTGAATTGTTTAAGCAAGTGTGTGTCATGTGTTAATTGAATTAGCACAGAAATTATGCTGATCCACGATGCAAGGAGCGAATGATTTTGGGTTAGAGTTAAAATGCAGAAAATTGAATAAGAACATCACGTGTTATCACACTCTTGTCTGCAAGAGTCACGTACATATCCAATGAGGAATAGAAATATATTCCCATCAAAGTGTATCATATCCATGGCTATTTTCCTTTCTCCCCCGACATTTGGAGAGTCGGGTGGAGATGAAAAAGAAATATTAAAGTGTTCATGTATCTCTCTCTCTCTCATATTTACTTACCATACGTTGAAAAATGGCGAGGAGCCAGGGCGGAAAACGAGGTCAATGAGGGTACAGAAAGAGAATGAGAGTAAATAAATTCATGATCTCTACGTATTTTTCCTTCCATTTACCATAGATGACGGAAAATTTAGCATTTCACAGAAAAAGCAACCCAAACGGGGCAAAAGGGTGGAGTGAAGAAAGAGTGAAACTTAATTATACCCATACCTTTAATGAGCAATAGAGTGAACGGAGAAAAATGGCACAGACGAAGCCGGGTGGGAAACTAATTTCAACTCAATTTCAACTGCTGCCCATTTATCGTTCCAAAGTCCCTCATTTGCTCCTTCATATTTCTCTCAAAGTCCCACATTCGTAGCATTTTTCACTATCAGTTAAAATTACCATTATTTCACGCGCGTCTGTCCTCTTATTCCCCTGTTAAATCAACAATTTCCTACTTGAACCACATTTCGCGCCACTTTTCCGCCACTCTCGTCGCAGATGAAACACTTCATCAGCAATAATTTCCATATTATTACCACTTTATCATTGACATTGCCCATTTATTTTTCACCTCTTCTCGCACCTCGCGAATTTCTCCCATTTCCCCATCTCAGGCAAATGCTTTAGCACTGAAAAGCACATCAAGGAGTTTACATGGCTTTTTGCTTCGATTAGCCTGGATTGTTATTTTTTTAGCCAGCTTTTCTAAACCTTATACATATTTCAGAGGCATCGGAATTGTGCGTGAATAATTGAAAATACACAAATGAGCAAGGAAGTGAATATTATATTCTCCTGCTACGTAAAATGTTATAATTAAACATTAAAATGTGTAATGTAAATTAATTTAAAAATTAAAACTGCCCAAAAAAAGATTTTTAATTACATTTCCCAACTCAAACAAATTGATTCCATCGATTATCACAATTTGTGTCAAAACATCCATCACTCTTTTCATAATAATGTATTGGAAGCTATTCAATGTGAATTGCGCTAAAAAATCGAATAGTTTTCAATTTTTCCATGTGTCACAAAATTTTATGGGCAGCAAATTTCTGATGATCAGTTTTAGTTGACAAAAAATATTCAAACCGATTGAAATATGCTTTTTATGGTCATTCTCGTTGTGCCGGTTGCACTATTTTTTTTTGTTTAAGGACCATCAATTAATTATTCACAACCCTAAAAAATTGTTGGCAATTTTTCTAGCTCTCACATCCCTTGATTTGTATAAATCATCAACATAGTTATGAGAGTGAAGCTATTTTCCCGCCCTTAATTTGTACAGCAGCGCGCCTCATGGCATCACTTCGGGACGAATTCAATGGTGTAATAAAGAAGCCTTCAGCAGAGGGTGTGTGAAAAATATGTGTTATTTAAAATGAGTATATAATAAAGGGAAAGGAATCCATAGAATTCATTCGTCTCGCATAAATTTCCTTCTCTGGCAAAATTTTTCCACCCCCTCGAGTGTGATGTGAGCCGAAAGGATCTATTGTAATATTTAATAATATGAGTTATTGTAGAGTATCTCACGACACAAGATGCAGTTTTATCAGATTTTGCCAATGTTGCATTTCTTGTGATTCTTATTGAAGTTTTTCTATTCATCTTTCCGACTAATCGATTATATTTATTCAAGATTTTCCAGATTTTCCATACTGCGAAGCCTTTTGTGAGCAAAGTGTTGTTCTGCATCGACCACTTTTGCTCACATCGCTGGTCCTTCAAGAAAAAAAAGGCGAGTCCCTTGGGTGAAATTACTGGATGTTGAAGCATCGCCGTGGGGAGGGAAGTGTAAATGGTCGAATGTGGTGAATTTCCATTAAAAATATTTCAACATATTCGCAGAGGATTCACCATGTTCTTTGATTTTATTGGCAGTACGTGTTTCGGGCTGCCAAATAGGCGAATTCTTCCGCAAAGACTCTCTTCTCCATCGTACCAAGAGCAAAGTCCCTTCTTTCCCCCCATCAACAACAATATAATGCAATGCTGACACTTTTATGGACTCACTACAATTTTATGGATGCTCTCGAGTCAAATATATTTTATTTATTATCACCATTAATGGGTGCTGAGTAAATTTTAATTGTTTCGTGTCAAAATGCTGGAGACTACTTCCGCCACTGAAATTTCTTATCGCAACCCCATTGCCTTTCCCGCCCACCCTGCGCGGCTGCTGCTACTGCCGCTGCTGCTATCGAGGGAAAAAGCCAACCCCGTTGTGCAGCAATTTAGACATGTTCTGTGCTACCCTCAGACAAAATCACATATGTTGCACTTTGAGCAAATTAAACACAACCATATAGCTCGTGTACGCATTACTGGAAACTATCAGCACGGCAAATCTTCTTGGTCTCTGACTGTTCCGTTGAGTTGAAGTCACATTCTCTCGAGTTTTCCATCTGAAATAGAGTTGCTCCCTCTTTAAGATATGGAAATCAAATACAGAATTCAACGAACAATTAAGGGAACATACGGAGTGGAGTTATCTCGCCCTACTCCGCCTCGATTTCCCTCAGTCAAAACGATGAATACCCTCACCCTCAGACACATAATGGTAAATTGGATTTTCAAGAAACTATGTAAAATCACTCCTAAGTGGTGCAGAATGTTGGCTCTTGGCGGGGAAAACTTATACACGGCACCCTCAAAACCCGCATCCGCAACGTTGATGATCTTAATTTCCTTAAACATTTATTAATTTTACGAATATTCTCTTCAGTCAATATGTCTCCATTTAGCTATCATTATGCTGTAATGTCCTCCAGCTTCTCACACTTCAACTGTCCATCTCACATTTTGTAACACCGTTCACACGATTAGTATGGGTAAACCACTGAAAAAGACACGCTTTTCACATAGATTCTCCAAGCAGCAGACGAAGCACAAGCAGAGTTATCACCGATGATGTCATCCAACTCCACTTGACACTCCCAATGGCCCCATTGTGCTCCCCATGTTGCATTGCGGCCGGATTTTCACCTGCAATTGAGGGGAAATTTCAACGACAAAATGTGTCTTTCAACTGAATATCGGATGTGTCACATGAAAGGTGGCCTGCTCAGCATGCTTGAATAATGCTAACCACAGACTTATACGGTGTTACACTTTGAAATTTGCGTAAATGATTCATTCATTGAAGTGTTGAATGAAAGTAATCTGATAAATGCTTGCTCAGCAAATGAATTGGTGTCAATGAGCAAAAGCATTGTATTTCATGGGTTATTGTGTGAGGGTATTTCTATGGTGACATCAAAATAAACATCCTTGAAAGATAATCTCGGTTCAAAAACCCTGGGGACAATATTTTTGTGCTTTTTAAACTTATGTCTCAATCAATTTGTATGCATTACACAGAAATACACTTTGAATTCACAATTTCCAAATTTATTCACTTTAAATCCAATCTAGCAAGCGCAATTCTTGATGTTTAGTTTCTATTAATTTTAATCATGTGCAGTGATTTGGCAATTATCGTGTGATATTTGCTTGGATATTTGATATCAAAGCCATTTACGAGGCTGAGTGTGGATGCGTTTCATTAGCTAATAGCAGAAAATACTCAAAGCGCTCCACTTTGGACACATTTTCCCTCTCAATATGGTACAATTTCATGGCATAATGTATATATGTGAGTATGTATATTACTGAGACGCGAGAGCGAAGTAAATAGACCGTGAAATCACGATGTATGCACTAATGGGCAAGTTTTCCCTATTTCACCCCTCAATAGCAAGACGCCGAGTTAATCTTGTGAATCTCCATCGAATTCGAGAGCTGCCATCAACGGTGGAGAAATTTGGTAGTTTATGGTAATACTGCAACTCCAACCATATTACATATTGTTCCCCCAAAAAGGCGTTATATTCGCTGTATCTTTTGGCCATATCTTGGCATTCTGAGACCATAGTCGCAAAGTGGCTGGGAATATTACGCGCTAACAATGCACTTTATAAAATATGAAGCACGGTATTTACAATATTGCTTCATGTGCAATTCGGATTATACCCCAGCCATTTAGCGTTTTATGGCAAAGTATAGAAGAAGTGCGCTATGTGAAACTTACCATTCAATATATGGACGAGTACGCTGGCTGATATTGCATTGTTGGGTACACAGGAATAATTTCCTGAGTATGATAGTGATGTCTGCAGTATTAGCAGCTCAGAGTGGCGATTATCTGCAAAGGAAAATAAACCGGGTATCATTACCCACAATTTTCACACACAGTCTCCTATGTGCACGTGCTATTTAGGAAAGCCTTGTGTCTTTGAGGGATGATTTTGAGGGATATATTCTGTAGACATTCCATGGCTTATCGCAGTGTAAAACCACAACACGCCGAGAGACTTTTCTCCCCCCCCGGAGTGAATGAGAATCAATATAGAAAAGGTATGAATAGTGTAACACGAAGTTTATCTTATCGCTTCTATTGACAATATCAATTTTACGACCAACATTGACATAGCTTTATGGGTTTAGATTCTTGAGCCAGGCTGTAATATTTTTCTCACAGACTGCATCCTTCTGCCCACAGAAGAAATTTAATCAAACGACCCATTTGTGCCATTTTCCACTTAGCCTCTGAGCAATGGTCCGTATATTTCTTTCTCAACTTTCCATCGTAATGCTATGCCGCCCCGTCAAAACTCACCCTCAGGCATGCACTCTACAGAATTGCTTCCCTCTGTCCGTGTGGAACAGAAACTGCGGTGAAATTCACTTTGTGGCCGCGAAAGTCAGTTACAAAAAATAACTCAGCATGCTGAAGTATCATCATTTTAGCGATAATATAATGAATCAGGAAAGAGCTTTGAAAGCTTCAATGAAGAGAATATTTTTTACAGTCTTGCGCTTTTTGATGACTGATGAAAATAAAAGAAAATGCAAATATTTTCCAGCCAATTTGATTGATTTCTGAACGAAATCTCAAGAATTTATAGTGAAAGTTCACACAAAAATTGACATCCTGACCAACAAGGGTAAATATATAATTTTCATAAATGCTAAATATGCACAATGTTTCTCTTTTTCGGATGTCATGTACAACATTCATTGGACATGACTTCACTTTTTTTGCCTTCCTGTGAAAATGAGAAAAAATTAGAAGCAATTTTCTGATGTGCGCTGACAACACAGCGGAGTATCATCAATCACCATTAAAATATGAGGCATATTTCCCCATTTTCACACTCGAGGCGGTAAATTCTTGTGGCACATTTTGACAGTTGAAATCGCGACAAGAAATGGATTATGTGCAAAAAGATACCGAGGGGACTGTGCTCTCACCATGGTTGTCGTGCTCAATTAGGGGTGAATCCATAATCTCAACGTACCTGCATCTGTGGACACATTAACGCCCCGATGTGAGTCGTAGTTTATCATGCGATTGTTGTGATACCAGAACAAATAGAGCGGCGGCTCCGTGCTCTGCAGCACTCGACAGACGAGCCGGAGAGTTGAGCCGGGCTTCAAGTACTTCTCCTGTGGCCCAGCAATTTCAGCTCGTGCCTCTGCAAATACGTCATAATATTGCTCAATTGCCACAAGTGAGATGTGATTCACTGTATTTACACTCCTAGTGAGAAATACTGGCCAAAAATTATGCATACGAGCAATTAAACGTAGTACTTTAGTAAGATTATGTGTCATTATCGAATGTTGGATAGTCAATAAATTCCTGTAAAATCCATAAAATGGCAAATTTAAGTCGAAATACATGCAAATTTAGCCATGCATGATTGTACTTCCGCCCTCGGTTTCAAATACCTTTGATTTCTATTTGCTGTACTTTCAATTACCCATAATCATGGTATACAAAGTTGTTTTCAGGCACTCCATTATAAAGAAATTCCTCGAATTCCCAATCAATTCCTGGCTTTATGCTATTACAAACCCTTATTAATTTTGCATGATTGATCGAACAAGAATAAATTTGCAATTCCTGGAATTTTTGCCACTTTATTCACACCCATTCAAGCCCTCAGCGATTAATACAAAGGCAATTTCCATAACATTATGACAATATATAACTATACAAATTGCATTTCAATTTCACACATGATTAAAATAAATGATACAGAATTCTATGTAGAAGATTTTAACTATACAGCATCCTATATTTATGAATAACTTGTTTGTCCAGCTGAGTATCGTGGCTTGTGATCAAATATTTGTCCCCTTTGCCCCCAATAAATATAATATCATGTATTTACCATCCACTCGCCCGTCAACATGGGCCAACATTAAAGTGAAACTTTCACTTCCCTCCGCATACATATAGTTTCAAATCTACATTTCATATGTCCTTTCAGCGCCAAGACATGCTTAAAGAGTATAGGGAATATATGATATTTTGTGTATGTCCGCATATGATACACCATAGCTAAAGTAAATAGGTAATAAAACATGAGACTTTCTTATTTGATTTACCATGAAAGTGTCTTCTTCATGCACCCCATATTTCCCAACATCATTCGGAATATTTCGAGTGAAATCTCATATGTTATCATCTTGATACCCCAAACACAACTGTGGACAAATATCATTTCACAAAAAGACCAATTGGATTCAATGTAAAATGTTTCTGGACAAGTACAGAATATTTGCTATGGTTTTTCATTTTCATTTGCTCTTAGCAAAACTTTTAGTTGCGAAAACTGTATTATCAGTGTTCATTGACAATAATGTATGCAAGCACATTATATTCTACATAATATATCGATACACAGTTTAGTCTATTGATTAATTTATCCCCACTGATAGTCTATGTTGGGGAACGAAGAGACTTAACTAACATAATGCAAATACATTGACCAGCATGTTTAATAAATTCGCTCCAAATTGAATCCACTCCTATCGCATTGTTGATTAAACTGTTTTCAACCTAAACCGTCCATTGGCCATGTTAAATTATCTACAGGCAGAAAATGCATGCATAAGTAAAGCCTTGAGCTTCACAGGACCAATATTTTCGTTATCATGCAAATTGAGGACAAAAATCAGTGGTACAATAAATAATGAAAACTCAATTGCCATCATGAAATCATTATCAGAAAATAATATTCGGGAAAATTTGCTTTTGAACAAAATTAATCCTGTTAATTATTATGTGCTCAACGTCCTGAAAAAATCCCACCAATCTATTTCGAGATGATTTGCCTAATCCCTTCCTGAGGGGGGAAATATGAATATTCACGACCCAGCGTGACTCCCACGGACCATTTCGCCAATTGCCTACTCACCGACAACGTGGAGGTGCGTGAAGATTGATATTGGCGGGTGGGTGGATACCTGTGGGCGGTAAATAAATTTGCCACAATTAGACATTCTCCAATTTGGCGCACTAATGACTGAGGGAAAGAAAAATTTTCCTTACCTGACACTCGTACACGCCAGCGTCCGTCGTGGTCACAAATTTGATCTGGAGGGTCCAGTCCTGTGCAGGTGGAGAAGAGAAATGGCCGTATTATAAATGCCCCACCAATTAATTAGACACGAAATTTGTGTTCACCGCCCGCAGCTTAATTGCACAATTGTGCGAATTGCGCGCGGAAAATTTTTAATGCCAAACATGTCCATTCTCTTGAGCTGTAAATTTTAATTAATGATAAGCATCACTGCGGAAAATGAAATGAAAATATTGCCACACATGCTAGACCACGCTGGTAAACACCGACTGTGGCCCAGACTATCACCGACTTATGAAAACCATATATGAGTTAAGTGAGCGTGTGCATGCCTCAAAATCATGGCACAACTCAGATTGGTGAACCCTCAGAAGAGACAAATGACGCTCAACTGATTGCGTCAATCACGTATGAAGTGAGCAATATGATTTGTCTGAAATTGAGCTCTGGATATTGGATGATTTTCGATAGTGCGGGAGTGCAAGACGAAGAGAGGCGCACAATCAGTGATTTGCAAGCCACCCGTATGCCATTAATAACGACGATGGTGTCTCGCTGGCCGGATTCTGATCACATTTGATAAATTCTTCACAGAAAATTTAACTCTGGGGCGAAACACACTGGCTCTTCCCCATAAATTAAAAATCAACCCAGGGAATTAGAGCTCAAGGAACTGTAAATCATTTATGCTATTTTACCATATTTATACGTTTTCACCCGATTCATTCCACTCAATATGCTTTCTGGTCCAGCAATTCTCAACATAAATGGGTGGTTCGATAGAGGCAGAGGATTTACACAACTCCCAGTAATTCTTGTATTTTATTCTTCACTGATTTCTCCCCAGTCCTTTTCAGAAAATATCACAAGCAGAGCCCCTCATCAGTTGCTATTTGCAGACACCTTCCATTCCGCTATGTGGCTTTTTCCGCTTGCACATGAAATTCTAGTTGCGGGAAAACTCAAAGTAAAATCCACACACACACACACACACACACGTTTGGCAAACATTTTCACGCGGTATTTCCAGGGAAAAACCTCACCTCTGAATCCAACGGATGAATTGCACTAAATCTCTCATCGCCGCTGTACGTTGTTAAGCCAACTGTTAAAAGATGATAGTCTTTCCCTTTCCGCCTGATCCATGATACCTACAAAATACACATCGGAAATTGATCAAAGAGCTCATCTTCTGATGTGATGAATGATATATATTAGTAGATAGTGGAAAATCTACACATTAACGATAGGGAATTTGAAATTGGGAATTGATTTTGTCACATTTTCATTGGTTAAAATCGAGGGTATAAAATATTTAACAATTACCCCTGCAAAATAATAAAAATTGCTGTTAAATAAAAAATAAAAGCAAAGTTATTTATTGAAATAAAACAATTTGCAATCACATTTTCCGCGTATTATTACGATTGGACACGTTGAAAACATTTAAATTTTAAACAATAATAATAATAATTAACATTATTATACATAAGTCTGTAAAAGCAATCATCGTTACCATTGGCTGTGTAATTGATATTCTCCTGATGATTTCCAATTTCTCAATTTTCAATTTTACCACACAAAAAAAACCGCAACAATCAGTTCTTGAATACAAAATACTCAATATTTTTCATTATACTAAAAGCTCATTCTACAATATTCATTCATCTCGCTGTTTTGCGCAGAAAAAAAAGGGAACGAAACCACACAATTTGTTACACTCATCTTTAGCCCTATATATGGATTATTTGCAGAAGTGAAGCGAATGGCCGAGAGAAATGTAGCAGAAAAGTATGAACAGTCTCTCCACCCCCGCAATATATCTCATACTGAGAGTGCCTCATATATTCACAACCATCCCTGATTTCAAGTTGGTCATTATATTCCACTGTGAGTGTGTCAACGTGTATATTTATTTGCCGGATGGCCGGCCAGGCCGAAGGGACATTCTGGGAATGGAAGAAATCAAAGCACTCTTACCACATTCTCGCCAATGTTGCGAACGATACACTCGAGAATTGCAATTGAACCAGCCTGATAAATTACAGTTGATGAATTCTCTGTGGCAAAGTGGGTCTCGTTGAAGTTGGAGGCAGTGTCTTCACTTTCACTTAATTGGTTATCGACGGCACGAGCTGCAGACTCCGTGGCGCCCATTCTCATGGGCGGCGAACTCGTCTTGTTGATGTGATTAATTCGATTAGCACTTACGTTCGAGCTGACCACCGGCTCCAGTTGATTTCTATTTACACTATTCAGGAAATTTGTGTCCATGTCCGGAAGGTGGCCCCCACCCGAGCTATCTGCCACCACGTGAGATGTCGTCTGAGGTGGCTGAATGAGCCCTATAAGCAGAGGAAACATCCACAATGAATGGCCGTGTGAGGACTTGTGTGTGTGGAAAAAGCAGCAGAGAAAACATAGAACCTAATGTGAGATACTATTTTCAAGATATACGCCATACTGGCCAATTCATGAGTAAATTAGAATGCTCCAGTAATCCCATTACGCCCACACACTCTGGCTGGCGCAAAAGGTACACGAGACAGTGGCTGACGCCCCCGAAATATTGGGCCCAGATCGACTCCAATGAATTTGCCCCCCAGTGGAGGGCGGGCAACATATTGCGATAATTGTATTTTCGGGTAGCGAGAATGTAATCCCATAGCCAGTGAATTAGTTTATCTATCTACCAAATAAGTTTATCGTGGTCCAGTGACTGTCCATCGTGTGCTATTGTCGGTACCCCAAAACTGCCACATAGACAGCCCCAAATGGCGGAGTAACTCCAAACATAAACACTCATTTGTTAGTTGCTCCACTTTCCGCCCATATAGATATACACACATACCATCACCATCACTAATACGGCGTTTACCTAAATGAAATGCGATTTTTCTCTGATTGAATCTCATGGAGTTCAATGTACAAAGTCATTCTGAACCGCAAAAGAGTTGGTTCTCCCCTATTAATCCTTTTAGGCAGAAATTGTTGCATTGTATTTCCCACTCAAAGAACTTCTAGATGCCCTGAACTGCTATGTTTATCCAAAATCTAGCTGAGATACAATCTACTGTGCTCATAAAGTTGAATCTGGGCTTTATGCATGTGTCAAATAAATCGATTATCGCTAGATAATTAAGTGACATCAAAGTGAATGTGTAACAGATATTCCCTAAATCACAGCAACGATCGTGCTTAAATTCAGCACACTCACACCTCAAATCTCAGTCTCTCAATCGCAAATTTTCGCAAAATAATTAACACGATATCACGGAACAATTTCGACCACATTATAATCCTAACCGGAAGCTGCAAAGAAGATACAATATATAAGGCGTCTTAGGCAACACTGAGCGCGATTGACAAGTCAGTTTACTCATCCACACGTTGGGTGTGAGAATTACAAATTTCCCACCCCTTTCCATGTGTGAAACTTTGATGATCCAATTGAAAGTTTATTTGTCTATTAATTCCTCACCCACACACACACACACATGTTACACACTGACTGATGAGAAGACAGAGTGAAACTTGACACATTTATTTAAATTTCCAGCCTCAGTCACCTCTCCTCTTTCATCAAACACCATCGCAATTGGTAATCTAACGGAAATCACATGATAGATAGAATACATTATTCATGGCAGGTGAAATTCTACGCTTCATCCATTCGAGAAGCAATTTAAATTAGTTTTTGCGTCAATAACTCTTCAATGTCTTATCCTACACTGCACATATGCTGCAACTTCATTTATCCATAGGAGAACTTTCATATTCTAGAAGTGAAAATTAGTAGAGAGTGCTCAAAACACAGAAAGTGCCAAAAGTGTAGATCTCGCAATGTTTGCTCGAAAATGAAAGTGAAGTATATATTTCCAATTTCTACAACTCACTTAAGAACAAACTGATGTATTAAATCTGGAGAGAGTTTCTCAAGCACAGGTAAAGAAAATTGAACAAGATCTCACAGAATTAATATTGTTTTTCTCTTAAAAACTATCTCTAAGCATAGATTCTTCATTATAACAATCTCTTTACTTTTCAAGCAAACACAAAACAGAGAGGTTTTATTATCTAATAACGAACGATGATTTTCGATCTACTATATCTGAGAAAGAGGAAATTGTAAGAACAAAACGCTCCTCAACTATCTATTCTTCTTCCATTTCACAGCCCCTATTCTGTGACTTATTTGTTCTCACAAAGATTTCCACATTGTGTGCACAAGCTTCTCCCATGAAGACGATGATAAAGTGGAAGTTCAATGTAAGTTCATTCTCGCAAGGCAACTTATTGAACAAGTTCAATTGAAAGATATTGAAGAAGTGTCAACAGATACGAAGATGTTTATCATTGTCAGGCGATATTGCCAATTCCCATCAATCTATTGCGTGCATTTTTAATACATCGTCGTTCATTATTTCACTGAAAGTTGATACAGTATCAGATGACGAAGGTTGGACACCACCTGAGCAATTAGACGATGGATAATGAGGTGTGTGTGCTCCATAAAGGTGGATCGAATTGCCATGAATGTTTAACGAAGAGGATATAATTAATTTTGTCTGGACTCTCAAAGATTGAAATTCAATTGGGGTTCCAGAATTACCTTCGAAACTCCGATACTCCGTGTGGAATTAAATCATTAAGAAGCTTAAGAGTGTATCATTTTGAGTTTACTGCTTCATTTGGCCAATTTGACACTTCTCATCGGTGCCTAATGAAATATTTTGTTTGATCGCATTGAAGATTGCAATTACTCCATCCACACGTTCTTAAGTCATGAGAAGCTCAATTTTACACTCAGTGGTTATGCAGAAAAGCTATAAAGAAATGATGTTAACACATAACGCGTTTCACCACGTCGAATTATGCGAAATGCAAGAGATGAGAATTTTAACTACACACTTTCTTCATCCATCTCTCTCTCTCTCTGGGATATAAAGGATTTTCATTCGCCATCCTATAAATTCGTTCACATTCAAACTTGCTTCAATACTCCTAATTGAATTGGTGCCGTCCAATTTGAAGAAACGAAACGAAATAATTTATCGACAAACAGGACTTGCAGACAAACGAAGAAGACTCCCTTCGAATGTCTTTCTTTGATTCGACGCTCATGAAGTTTCTCACATCACTGATCCGATATCTTATTGAACATGGCATTTTCTGAGGAGAATGGCGAATGCGAAAGACTGAATCTAAGCTGCCTTTTCACTTCCAACAATGGCTGGCAAGTCTGGACGCATTGCGAGCTCTCCTGACCGATGTTCTGCATTCAATGAAGACTCGCTGCTTCTTTCCCACATCTTGACCTCCATCCATTCTCGCCTCCTTGACACACAGTTGAAGTAAGAAAGTTATGGAATAGATTTTTGAGAAAGTTGATGGAAATTCCACTTTCAATTGAGTTCAATATCGCATCTTCAACTCAATTTGGCATATTTCTTGCCACATTATGTTTTATCCATTCTTCCTGATGGTGAATAAATTACATATGTGAGTATGGAAATAAAAAAAAATAGAACTTGCAATCAATGAAAATGTTATTTATGCATTGAAATGTTGCAGCTGTTGTCAGCCTAAATTAAACGATTATAATCTAATTTCCATAAAAATTAAAATACTCTATAAAGTCTATTATTTATGCACGTGCACCATATTGCAAATAATGATAAGTATGAGGTAACATAAATAACATTTATTTTGTATTTATTATCAATTTATCAAAGTTACAAATCACACTCCATTTTGATTGCAATTAATTTACAAATTCATTTAAATTATGAAATCTATACATATATTTCTCCGCAATCGCCCCAAAACAACAAGTCCTGTGTAAAATTTCGCAAATGTAATTATCAGCGACGTTCTAATATTATCCCCTCAAGCGCCATTAAAGTCACCCAGTTTCTAATTTATTCACCGAGACAAATGCGAAAGTGATAGAGTGTCTACTTGTGGGTTTACAGAATTATAACCGATCCACAACTGACCATCGGGGAACCGTATAAACCACCAATAAAACCGGCTATATTCCCTGAGCATATAAATCAATTCCGAGTGCGACAGGAGATTTCCACCTCTTGAAAGTTCGACGGTGTTACACCAGAATGCGAATCATTGAATTACTAGGGGAAAAGTTGGAAAGTTTGAAAGTCTTTTTGTCTGGTTGTCAAAGGAGCATTTCCCTAGTGAAAATGTCAGACATAAATTTTAATTGTCCCACCTTTGCAACCCATTTCTCAAACCCCCAATGCTGTAGAAATTAAATTAAATTGCACTTTTTCCACCTACAAATCTTTTAGTCGTGTTTCTCCTACCCAAAATACTACAAAAAGGGAAAATTAATTTATGTTATAAAATTGATTTTCCCACGTTTCCCTTGTTGCCCCACCCATCAACATGTGCATGCAATTTTCCACCCACTTGTTCACCTAGATTTTTAGGTATTCTCACGAGGGGATAGCCATTTGGCATGTCATAGTTTTTGGTAATTATTCCTCCTCATTCCATTCCACGAGGGTGTGCAATTTTAAATCTGTGTATAAAGCAATATTTCGGTAGATTGCCAAACCCCTTTTGGAATCGCAATACTAATTTTGTTACACTCCAAATTTCCCGCCATTTACATGTTTATTTTTCCATAAAACTCTACTCCAGATTTCCCATTTTATTCCAATCTGGCGCCAGGGACGCTCATTCGGCACGGTGAAAAATTAATTACGATATAAATCATGCCATTTAAATCCCCAGAACATTGCCCAAGAAGAGGAAACTAAAATGTAATTAAAAGCTCGCAATTAAGCATTGATGTTTTGCTCTTCGACACCCCAACTATGGATACATTACCAGCACATTCATTCTCCCCTCACCCCCCCAGCCCATCGTATTTTTCTCAGCGAGGTGAAATTTCCACGATGCCAGTGAAACTTTGATAATTTGAATGGACGCCAATAGGAGCCTCGAGTGCGGATGGGTGATAAAGAAGGGCCAAAAGTGGAAGAATGTCGGCGCCCAACTTTCCTCTCTCTCTCTCTTTCTCTAAGTGTATCAATCTTATTTTTCGGTAGAAAATCTTGACGACTACAATTAGTTTCAATTTGACCCGGGCATTGTATATCTTTAATTAAATTTTAATTTGACTTTATGCTTCACTTGAATTCCTTTCTCTCAGCCAAACAGTTCGCCCCAAGGCTCGCCCATTCCATCTCCCGATGCTCAGACTCGGTCCTGTGATTTGTTTGTGTATTTACCATCTCCGTGCAACTTTTCTTCTTTTTTCCGCCTATTCTGGAGAATGTGAAAAGTGATACTCTCCGTCTTGCCGTAATTCGGAAGACTTTCTCGTTGTATTTTGGGTCAATACACCAAGTCCGTATAAATTACACAATATTGAATACTTCTCCTCCAGCTGATGGTTTGGGGAAGAGACCTAAATGCGTGGAAATTCCTTCCATATCTCTTTTTACTTCAGACCAAGCTTCAGACTGACTGAGTTAAAAGGAAGCTTGACATTGAGCTTTATAGATAAAATGATCATATTATTGATATAAAGAAAAAGATACTTTACAAAATTGAAAAAGCCATCACTGAAATAATATTTCATTCTAATGTTCCTGGTAAAATTTATAACTATATCATAAAGAGAGTGCTGAATTGAACACTTTTCTGAAACAATGTGAAACTCTATACCATAAATTTCAACCAGACAAATTACCATGATTGCGTAATCGAAGTGTTAATCTATTGTCTGCAGTATTATTTGCAACTCTGCCTAAGGAGACTCGCGTCCTCATCTTCTCCCCACAGAGAGAGAGAGAGAGAACAGAAATGATGCTCAATGTGGGGAGGTTTTATATACTTATATGGAAACGAGAGACACACATTCTCGGGAGAAAAAGTATATTTTTGGAAAAAAAACGAGAAGGCTCACACTCACCATTTCCATCCTTCGCAAATCCGAGCACCATAAATATTGTCGACCATCTTGCCAGAGTGTCTAGAAGGGCGATGAAATTGCCTCGTCTCGTGCGGCCGCCTTTTCGGAGCATTAGGAATAATAAGGATTTAGGTTCACAAACGCTCAAACGACCACATATCACTCGCTTCTTGAAATATTGTCTTGTTTTCCGAGGAGCCACATGCTTGCTCTGATTTGTTCCGTGTCTCGCTGTGTCTCCGCCGGCAATGAGCAAAAATCACGCTCATTCCAGACTTAACACGGAAATCTCCTCGTCCAGGATCTCCTCACACCATGTGCTCTCTCTCTCTTCACGGGGTGCAAAAACTCCACATCACATTTCAATTCATTAATGAAAATCACATTTGTCAAAATAGTACATTTGCCACGTTTTGATTTTGCCTCTGTTGATTTTCCTCTCTTTGCCGCCTTTTTGCCTCACCGTCACTCTTTGCCCATGACAGAGAAGAATTATTCTCCAATTTGTGCAAATTGTGGATTAATGGGCTGTACGTGAATGAGATAAGTCACAATTTTTTATTCATACACTTTTTTTTGTAGTAGAGCATGCCTCTGCCATATAAATTTATGTCTCTTTTGCTTGTTGAACTGCTGCCATTATTATTCACGATACTATCAATAAATTATTCTCTGGAGCTAAAAAGTGATTTCCCTTAGGGGTTAGTCACCCTGTAAAGAAAGTGAGAAGAGGAGAGCAGATTAGGGAATGTGTGAGAGAATTCCAATGGTTTAAACAAGAGGAAAAATTGAGTGTTATTACATAGTTATGGGAATTTCTGACATATCGAGTGTTCGAGAGTAATAGCTCTGTTGATAAATCAAGTGTGAAAAAATAACATATAAATTATTTAGAATCATGCTCGTGTGCTTCAACCCAAGCCGCGGTATTCAATTTAAATGACATAAATTAATCTGCATGGAGTTGAAAAAGTGTTTGGATGTTTCCACCACCAGCCAAGCACCATCACCATTAATTCTCAAGCATATATTCATCTCCTTAGCGTGCAAGAAAATCTCACCCTCAACACGCACAATCATTCTTCATCTCAATATATTTTCACTTGTCTTGCGAGACATTTAAATTACCATAATATATGACGTTAAATATTGCATCATTATTGTGTCATTACGACGTTTGTCGCTGGGAGAGAGAATAACACACAGTAAATCCTCTAAATTCCCACATGATACCCCCCATTTTCTCGGGGGCTGAAGTGAGACGAAATGGCATGAGACCCGGAAATCAAAAAGACACAGGCACACATTTCACTGTGAGGGAGTGAAGTCTTCAATGGGAAATGCGAAGAGGAAAATGTAGATTGTGAGCTGAGGGACTGTCTCGGGGGCAAAATCCCTCTTCAACCTTCCACTTGATTCTGGGGCTAGGAATTATTACATATATTGCATTATGAAGACAGCGACAGGGTATTTTTCAGCGGATGACAGAAGAAGAAAAGACGAATGGAATGCCCAAATAGTCTCCACTTACTTTGAATATCTCCCCCAGTCTTGGCACAAATCTGTGAGATTTGCAGAGTGTGCAAAGAAAGCTCACGTGCAGCATCCATATTCACCGTGAATGCTCATCCTGGCCACGGCAGAGCTCAAGTTATGTGGCACACGGGAGCAGGAAATCCCTGCCGAGTTGCAACCCAGGTAAATTGGATTGCCATGTTAAGTCATAAAATATAGAGCGAACAATGGAGATCCTCCTGAGACGATCACCTCTCGAGTGGTTCACCGCGAGAAAGCCACACCAATTGTCCTTGCACCTACATATATATACCATTTAAATATTCAGCCAAAAGAAATCCACATCGCTGCAGAAACATCCTCCGAACGCTCAAAATGCGGTCTTCCTGCATGGGAACGGCCAAAGAATTCCATTCGCTTCCTTGCACCTTTTAAATAATAATTAAGCAAGCAAAAGACATTAGCCCACATTCACCTAAATGCCTCAGGTAATCCCACCCCCTCCGCGTCCTGACAGAGCATGAAATCCCTTGTTTTGTCTCACCACCGCGCAAATTTATTGCACAACCCATCCTCAAGATTACTCTGCGAGGTTAGGAAATGATACAGCATTACCATTTATGTTTGTGTTTCAAGACATTCTCGCCCAGGCAAGGTAATAATTTGTTCACGCGAGAGAAAATCCACCCAAAACTAAAGCTTTTCCACCTTCGTGCCACCCCTTTATTCGGCTAATTCTGCAACTCAAATTGGAACAGCGAGAGCCATTTCGCAGTGTATAAGATGAATGAAGATCCAAAGCTTTGCGTATTTCATTGAAGATACTTCCATAAAGTCAAACTAAAAAATTAATTAAATATTCAGCAGAATTCAAATCTACACTTTGTCTGAATTTCATCCACATAGATGCAACTAATTCCAACAAAACACCTTGACAACGAAGACACACACACAATATGTAACACTCTAACTTGCTGTTCTCATTATTTGATTGCCTCAAGTGAATTTATATGCAAAATTTACATTCACATCCACTTTCGGGCATCTTTATAGGATGCTACCTGTGGTGAAAATGCTCGTAGCGCTGAAGCTTCGCCTCAGCCAAGGAGGAGCATGCGAAAGTATAATCAATAAAAGGAAAGTTTTGCGGATAATAACAGAGAAGATGGAGCGAGAGAGGAATTTCTATTATTGCAAGCAACACATGGAATATTCAGCAGATTTCATTTTCTACACGTGTGAATTTCCCCGAGAAATTCACAAAGTACATTTTAACTTTTGCTAATATTTGCGTCAGGATTTTTATATTCTTCCTAGTGAGAATTCCTTACACTTGGCATGCGACCTTCTCACAAGACATTCGGAAGATTGAATTGATATTCATACCGATGCAGGAATAATAGGAAGATGGGAATGAAACAGTAGGGAAAAGATTGTAAATCGCCAAATTTCATTTGAATTTCTCTTTTTGCCACTTTTATCCCCCCAGAATGGTGAAATGGAGGCAAGCGGAAGCCTTCGGAGATATTAAATGGCGTAACACGAATTGAATTGAATTTATTTGCGTGCTTTTGTGCTGAAAATAGTCCTATCGTAAGTGCGAAATACTGCACCCGCGAGAATAGATCCTTTCTGGACCATTTTCGGCACCTCTCTAATGGCATACAACCTGTATCAATTGTAAATTTTGGCGGGAAAGCGCCTCGCCATGAAATGTGTGTGGATATAAGGTGGCCATTCAATCCGCAGCTCTCTGGCGTGTATGTATTATTTTAAATGGTCCACACCATTGGGTTTATTCTGCACCACAAGCGTATAAGGGCGGATTTAGAACGCCATTCAATTGACAATTCACGGCGCAAAGTGGTGAGAAAAAATCAATGGTAAAATTCCCAGGTGTTTGCTCGATAATCCACAAGCATGGGTACAGAAGCTGAGCTCTCTTGTGTGCTTTCCAGATAAATTATTTCATGTTTGCCATAGAGATATTTTTACAGAATAAATCAGTTGGACTGTGGGTTAAACAAAACATTCGAAACTGTTTCAACCAACACACATTTCTGGTTCATTGCACTTCTCAACTAAAGTAAAAAGAGCCGGAAAAAATCACTGAAACATTCAGATTTCACACCGAACCCGCAATTACTATTAATTACACAATTCAACATTATGTTTTCATATTATATGTTCACATAAATTTTCACACTCTGTAATATGCCATCTCTTGAAGCGACTATGCACTATTTGAGCAAATTCAGCAATTTTCAGTACGGAAGCGCACAAAGTGAATCGCGTAGATGTGGAAATTTTTTTCAATTGGCGGTTTTACATGACAATTTTATGCCATTTTCCTTCAACATTTCATTTTGCAACAATGATTGCTATTGTGAAACCTTTCACGAGCTCTCCACACGTCCTGATCCAGCAACACTGAATGCGTGTCTGCGCCCCAAGCCATCTCACCCCCCCATTCCATCGTGACGCCACCCTTTCTGAGCCAGGAAAAATAGCACCTCTTTTCAATTTTACAGTGTCCCCGGTAATGTGACAAACTCTTTGCTGGGTGGCTGCTCAGGAGCAATTTTAAATGTTAATTGTGTGAAGGAAAGTGTCCCAGAGGTGCCTCATATTCCCACCGCCATTTACAAAGTGAGTTATGACCACATAAAAAAGTCACGTGGGGGTGTGTGGCGATGTGTGTAAACTACTTTTGCCATTATTCTCCCTACCAAACAAAAGACCGTAGGATGTGACACGAAAAATGAGTCAAATAAATCTATTCTCATAGACAAAACAGGGGTAAAATATGGGGGTATTATTAACCATCTCATATTCCCCATGGATATGTCGAAAATCTTGAATAAGGGCCCTTGCAACCCTTAATCTTTAAGGGAATATTGTTTAAATAGTAGAGTCAAAAAGTCCTTCTTTTTCACCATGCACAATCAGAAAAGCAATTTGTCTTCTTTGCTAGACGGAATAGATTAAGGTTAAGCAGGTTCAGGAAATAGAAAATGCAGAAATGCAGATCTTAAATCCACTCTTGACGAGAATTTACCTAAATCGTATGTGATTGAACGGAAGATATCTGTGCAGACGTGTCAGCCTGAGTCGACAGGCGAAGGAGGAATTCTTCTTCTTGCACAAACATAAATCGTTTCTAACGCACGGAGTCTAACTATCAGACAAGTGCCTGACACAATAGATCTTTCACCCAATAATGCCCCAGAAAATCCCATTAATACCATTGATTATCGCTGAAAAGAGCCAACATGATAAATCATTCACACAAGAGAAGTATGGGTGATATTCCCCACACTGACAGTCGCCCCAGAGGGACCCGCGCCAGAGCACGAGGACAATGGTGGATTATTCTTTCATACATATGTATAAATTTTGTTCTGCAAATAACTAGTTTCCTGTGAAAAATTAATGATCCGCGTTGAATAAACCGCACATTGCTTGCATTATATCGCAAACTCACGTTCGGTGGGCGAAAAAGTGTGGGAAGAAGTGAAAAAATTGCGGAAAATATTGGGAAAAACGGCGGAAAAATGTCTCTCATAGGAAGTTTGGTGGGAAAATCTCCCTTTTTTCAATAACGAGGTATTTCGAGTGAATAATATGTTCACATTACGCATCATCGTCATTGTTATAAGAAGCTTTAGGGATTTCTGAGCTTACAAACACACTCTTTGCAAATCAACCTAATCAATATGCCAATTTTGCCAACAGCACCATTTCCAGGAGAATCATGAATCGATACGTGACGTAAGAAGGTAGACTTCACGAAAACTAATAACATATATCGATAATTATAAATTTAAATGTGAGGATTACCATTTAATATGCTCTTATCCACTCAGTGACCCATTTTCCCAAAAGCACACCAATTTGGCTCTTAAGCAGCCAGTATTACTCAAAAATTAAATCCCAAATTTCACTTGTGAGTGGAATAAATTTCGCTTATTATCATTAGTAAAATTAGTTCACTCTTTGCCTACATAAATTAAGGAGCAAGCTTTGAATTCCCCGAAATTTTTGGCACAACTTCATGAGCATCTCCAAAATATTTTTGACTGAATTAACTTTTATAGTTCATTAGCTGGTAATTTGGACGGAAACCAAGAAAACCTCAGTGCCAAAGTATACGCGATATACGATAAACACAGCGAGAAGTGGATTTGGTATTGGAA